CCGCCGTGTGATCCGATTGATTAGGGTTTACAGATTGATTACCCATCGATGATTCAGTATTACCAATCGAAGAAGTGCAGAGACCAGAAGTGTAAGAGGAAGGGATGATTGTGGACCTGAGCTTGGGAAATCGGAGGAGGCGGGTGGTTGTAAACCCACCGGCGCCGAGAAGACGCTTCGCCGCCGTTCGATACATCGTCGCCGGAGTGAGGGATTGACGTTTTGACACGTGGATGAGATGGATGCCACGAGAAAGTAAAAGAGCTTCCTTCTCCTCGTAACCGACCCCGCTTGCTATTCTGGTAGTATCCAAGTATACACTTTAATTTGGTGATGAACAATATCAAATTGGGGGGTTTAAAATACAATTTATTAATTGTTTTAGTTGCCAACTATTTATGATTATTTGCTTAAATCAAAAAGAAAATTATACGACTACTATTTAACCCCGTAATCGTTGGAAAAGAAACAAAATCAGCATGTTAATATTTATCGTTAGTACAAAAAAGCAATCGTAATTTTTTTTGGTTGAACTTGAATCATTCTAATAATCCGTAAATGTTTTTTTATTTTTATTTTGTTAGTCCATCAAAAATACAAAATACTATTATCCTTCACATCGAACCGTACACGTGTCACGTAACACTGGCTTCACAAATTCTTCTGGATAACAAAGCCCATAACATACGAGGACATACAATCACAACAAAATAAAAGGATATAGCAAAGAAATTTTCATTTTCATTTCCACACGAATCAAAGATGGCTCTTGCCATTGCTTCTTCTCTCACTCCAACACTCGCTTTATCCACGAACAGAGTGGAAATAGGACGAGGAGCATGTGCACTACGCGCCGGTGGAAGAATGAGCGAGCGCGTGCACGTGGTGGTCGTTCGTGCCGGCAAAGAAGTTTCTAGCGTCTGTGAACCACTTCCTCCGGACCGTCCTTTGTGGTTCCCCGGTAGCTCTCCACCCGAATGGCTCGATGGCAGGTTTCGATTTATGTTTCCCTGATAAACTTACAACTCACTAGTACATACGTACATGTTTTGTGTTAATGTCGTTGATGTGTTCAATTCAAAATCTTATTATGCATATTATTGAAGTAAAAGAGTTATTCCTATGAATTTTAACATTCGTCTTGTTTGCAGCCTTCCTGGCGATTTCGGTTTTGATCCTCTCGGTCTAGGTACGAAAACATGAAAACCCAATCCGGTTTTACATAACAAACCGAATTTTAAACCGAACCGGGTTTTGTTTCACAGGGTCTGACCCGGACCTTCTCAAATGGTTTGCACAAGCTGAGCTCGTACATAGCCGGTGGGCTATGCTGGCCGTGACTGGTATTCTAATACCGGAATGTCTCGAACGATTAGGTTTCATCGAGAATTTTTCATGGTACGACGCAGGATCACGCAAGTATTTTGCGGATTCAACTACGTTGTTTCTAGCTCAATTAGTGTTAATGGGTTGGGCCGAGGGTAGAAGATGGGCTGATTTGGTTAAACCGGGGTCTGTGGACATAGAGCCCAAATACCCGCATAAAGTGAATCCTAAACCGGATGTTGGTTACCCAGGAGGTTTGTGGTTCGATCCGATGATGTGGGGGAGAGGTTCTCCTGAACCGGTAATGGTTTTGAGGACTAAAGAGATAAAAAACGGACGGCTCGCGATGCTTGCTTTCGTTGGCTTCTGTTTCCAAGCTAACTACAGTAATAGTCAAGATCCAATTGAGAATCTCATGGCTCATCTCGCTGATCCTGGTCATTGTAACATCTTTTCGGTAAGCTACAACTTAGATGATCAATATCATTATCACATTGATGTACATTGATTAGCCTTTATTGATACTTAACTTCTCTTGCAGGCATTTACATCACATTGAGGGATTATTTGCTTGCAATCATTGATGTACAACTTTTGTATATAGTGGAACACAATATCGATCGTTGTTACGTTTATTTGTATGAATTATATTATTTATAAAGTTTTTTTTTGGGAAGATTTCTTTTTGTGTACTACTTTAATCAAATTAATTACAAAAAGGTTGTTTTTTCATATTATCAATTTCATTGATGTCTTTTAAAAAAACATTCAAACAAAAACAAGAATGGTCCAAGGGTGCATGATTGACGAAACTAAATGTGCATATAATGTTTCTAAAAAAAAAAATTAAAGATATATCCCAAACCAAGGAAAAAACTATTACAAACAAAAGTAGAAACGAATCCTATTTTCAAACTTTTTAGTGGAAATTTTTTTCTACAGAAATTAATGGTGAAAAGATTTAAAACGGTATGTAAAAGAACAATTTCAGAACAATTTTCTATCGTCATAAATATGAGAGAAACGAATGTATGAGTTGTGTAATTGTGGACGTTTAAGGGAGACTTTAAAATATAAATCAGGTTGTTTCACTATAGACTTATACCACGTCTAAGCCAAACTAACCGGTATGCTAATTTCTCCGGTTTGGTTCTCTATTGAATTTCGCTGTATTTTCTCTTTGCCCAGAACTCCATCGAATCACACACACACACCAAACTCACCAGCTTCTGACACAGACTTCTCAACCCCATGGTCACGAATCTTTGCGTATAATTCACTATTTCTCTGCTAGATCTTGATCCCAGAAAACCATAAACCCATGTTTCTACTTCCCCCTAATTCCAATCATGGTGGAGAATTTGCTTCCTTCTCGATTCCAATCTCATCTTCAGAGACTTGACCCTAAGCGTCGTCTTTCTTCTCTCCTTGCTTCCCACAAGACACTCTTCTTCACCTTTCTCTGGATCGCCGCCTTCGGTTCCGTTTTCATATGGCAACGAACGGCTTACGTCGCCGGATCCGTCGCTGGTCCCGTCGGTGTAAAGTTCACGATTTTCGGCAGGATCAAACCGACTCAGCCACTGCCTCGACTGAGACCGGTGGTGTTCGATTTGAAGGATTTCGGAGGTGTTGGAGATGGGTTTACGCCTAACACGGAGGCGTTCGAGAGAGCGGTGACTTCGATCTCGAAGCTCAGCGGCGGAGGACAGCTGAATGTCCCGCCTGGACGGTGGCTTACGGCGCCGTTTAATCTCACCAGCCACATGACTCTTTTTCTCGCTGAGGATTCAGAGATTCTTGGTGTTGAGGTTAGTGAAAATGATTTTGATTTGTATTGCTTTCCGTCACGAAACAAAGGAACAAGGAAAAAGTTGCAGAGGTTTTTGCTCCCTCTAAGCTTTAAGAACATGAGATTTCTAAGTTGGATACAGTATATTGACTTTGTTTGCTTGGTTCTGTGGAATGGAGGAACATAATTTAGGAGATTTCGATGGGTAACAAGTGCTATATTTGGTATGAGAATGAGTTTATCTTTGGTTTATGTAGTAGGAGATGATCAAAATTTGAGATGTTGAGGATAGATTCTAGAGTATAGGTTTGTAACCAAAGGTTGCTTAGTGAGAAAAAGAGATTTTCGCGACTGAAATGGGGCTCGAGGCGTTTCCCTTTAAGACTTTGTGTGATTTGATATGCGAGTCTTGGTACTCAATGTATCGCTTTAATCATCAGGATGAGAAGTATTGGCCTTTAATGCCACCATTGCCTTCGTATGGATATGGTAGAGAGCGACCGGGACCTCGTTATGGGAGCTTAATCCATGGTCAAAACCTCAAAGACATTGTGATAACCGGTGAGTGATTCCCTCTTTTCGAGTTCATGTTTGTGAGTTATTATAAACGGAATATTGATTAATGGTAATGATCATACAACGAACAGGTCATAATGGAACAATAAACGGACAAGGACAATCGTGGTGGAAGAAGCATCAAAGAAGACTTCTCAACAATACAAGAGGACCTTTAGTTCAAATAATGTGGTCGAGTGACATTGTTATCGCTAACATTACACTGCGTGACTCACCCTTTTGGACTCTTCATCCATATGACTGCAAAAACGTAACAATCAAAAATGTCACCATCTTAGCTCCTGTTACCGGAGCACCAAACACTGATGGAATTGATCCGGGTATGTTCATTTTCCGCTTAGTATCTCTCTCCTGGTTATCCTGTTCTTGGCACATTTAAAAACCTTTTGCACCGTGTTTCTTCCTTAACAGATTCATGTGAGGATATGGTAATTGAGGACTGCTACATTAGCACCGGGGATGATGCCATTGCGATAAAGAGTGGATGGGATCAGTTTGGCATTGCATATGGACGACCTTCAACAAATATTCTCATCCGTAATCTCGTAGTTCGTTCTGTTATCAGGTAAAGAGTCTTCACATTTCTCATATGATTGGAAGATATCCAAAAATAAATGACAGTTTTGACTACGTATTATCATGTTGTCATTTGAACATAGATTACTATCGGGTTAATGCATTTGTGAGAATATTTTGGGCGTTAAACCGCAAAGAAAAAGTTGATTGAAAAGATTTCTAATTGCGATAATTTATCCTGATGTTTTGACAGTGCCGGTGTATCAATTGGAAGCGAAATGTCGGGCGGGATATCGAATGTGACGATCGAGAACCTTCTGATCTGGAACTCACGCCGTGGAATCAGAATCAAAACAGCTCCAGGAAGAGGAGGTTACATCAGAAACATAACATACAAAAACCTAACACTAGACAATGTTCGAGTAGGGATCGTGATCAAAACAGATTACAACGAGCACGCAGACGATAATTTCGATCGGAAAGCGTATCCAACGCTTTCTGGATTCAGCTTCACGGGAATCCACGGACAAGGAGTGCGGGTGCCGGTCCGAATACACGGCAGCGAACAGATTCCAGTGAGGAATGTGACGTTTCGGGACATGTCCGTTGGGTTAACATACAAGAAGAAGCATATATTTCAGTGTTCGTTCGTGAAAGGACGAGTCTTTGGGTCGATATTTCCTCGACCGTGCGAGAATTTTGATGTTTACGACGAGGAAGGTCGTCTTGTTAAGCCTGCGGCTGAATCCAATGTCACGGACATTGATTACGACATTTGAATTTTTTTTTCTTCAAATTTCGCCGTCGTTTGGGGTCATTTGTGTACATAACGTAAATTTTGGGGCAAAAATGAAAATTATTTGTCGTGTTTTTTTTTTTTTTGACAATTTCTCTTCATCATTGTTGGTATTCATTTTTCTCACTCTGATAAAATACTTTGTAATTAATTAAGAACACAAATGTCGAAAGGAGTTTTTTTTTTCCCAGTACAAAAGTAGGAACTGTGAATATATTTGCAAATGATTTTCTACCCCTTACTCGTAAATTATGAGAAAAAATTATAAGTTTTAAGAGAAGAGTGGATCAAAGTGTTGATGTGAAGCTGAATATCTCTTAATTGATTTTTACCGGGCTTAAGCTGAGTTATGATCTGTTTAAACACCAACAACAAATAAAATAAATTATTTGAAAATATCTAATGTATATCAAATATTAAATTTGCATGTCATGAGAAGCATGTTCCACTTGTCAAGAAAAGCACAGTTTCAAACATTTATATATTAATTGTATATTCTGCAAAACACCGACGACTCCAAATCTCCAATAATGCACGACCCATGTGGCGTCTCGTCAACTG